ATACGGTAAATGTCACATATTTACCATTATTTTCTGTTACCATCTTTTGTATTTTATCGTTAAATCCCAGTAATGATAGTCTAAAATTCAAATGATTTATAAACAAGTGTGAACCAATTTTGCTAATGGATCCAAAACCATATTCTCAAAAGAATTCGATAATAAAATATTATCTCTCAACGATATTAGATTAGTACATGCTAACATCATTGCACAATTAAGTCCACCACTATTATAATAATAATAATAATAATAATAATAATAATAATAATAATAATAATAATAATAATAATAATAATAATAGTGAACCATCATACAAATAGTCATCTAAATATTAAAAAAAACAATACTTAAACAGGAATTACCTCATCCATAAAGTATTGAGTTGTAGAAGGTAAAAGGTATAATATTCTTATCTTTACAGAAATGTCAATTTAGAAAAAAAAAGATAAATAGTATCACATGTGGTATCTCTAGAATATCTCGATAATAAACCCCACGGTGGATGATAAAAAAGAAAAAAAAAATGAAATATAAGAAGTTGAAAGATCATCGGCGGTACATTAGTTGAGTTTCACTTACTAACCTTTATATCTCAAGGACTATAAAAAATTGAATATTATTAAATAAAAACTAGAAAAACGAATATAAGTCAATGGTTACCCCAATTAATCAACCATCATAACCTAGATACACACAAAAAACTGAGTTAAATTAATTATCGATGTGACAAAATATTTTTTTGACATTTTGCAAGTATATCAACAATTTTGAATAAAAAAAGATATTACTTACAGTATGAAATCGTGTATGCGATTTGTAATCTTTACAAGACCAACAAAATATTATTACATTATTTTTGTTACACAAATCCATATTTCAAAATTCATCATTCATCTTAGTTGAACTCAATCGTAATACAAATATGCTTTTAAACCTCTCACAGAATTGGTCAGCTCATCAATTCGTATAAGTATTTGATTATTATCCAAAAATTATGAGTTCTAAAATTAGGTTGCAAATTCTTAAAAATTTTACCATCATATCTCGAATATTTGATCTTCTAGTAATTTCCAAAAACCTTGAGAGAGTTGATCACAATGGATGACATAGTAGAGTAGAAGGAAGAAATCAAATTCAAAAATACTAAAAACAAATAATGAGATGATTTCAATTAATAACTTTATAACTCAATTATATATCTTTTACTCTCTACTAAATTTTCATGTATGCCATCAAAAAATTATGACCAAAAGTTATACAACATCCTTCATTGAACAAGGATCAGAACTTGTTGATCTATTGATCAAAATATCTCATAATTAAGAGAGCTGTCTTCTTCGTAATCACAATATTTCATTGATAGCGTAGGAAGTCATGCGACTCATTCTACCATTGTGAAATTCATTAAAAGCTCAAAATGTTAATCCATGATAACCATTTGTCTAACAAAAAAAACATAAAATTTATAGTTACCATGTTAAACATCTATCGCAGTCTAGACATACAAAAACAAATTCAAAAGTTAATAATCAATGAAAAATATATTTATTTACATTTTGCAAGTATATCAAAAAATTTGAAACGAATATGAACATCTATTACTTACAATAGAATATAGTGTATGTGATGCGTATTTTAAAACTAATCCTCTATCTTAGTTGAAATCATTGCATAAACGTCTCTGAAAATTGGTCAGCTCATCAATCATATAAAAGTTTTACTAATTTAAAAATTATGAGTAATGAAAATTTGGTTGCAAATTCTTAGAAATTTTACCACCTTTGCTCAAATATTTGATCTTCTATTAAGATCCAAAAAATTGGAGAGAGTTTAACGTTTTCAAGTGGATTACAATGGATGACACAAAAGAGTAGAAAGAAAAAAAATCAGCTTTTGATTAATAATCTATGAGACAAAGAAGAGCATAAAACACAAATTAGATGAAAATTTTGTATTAAGAAAATTGTGTTGCTCAATTTTAATCTGTTTAAATATTTAATATTTTGTTGAGCTTTAAAAAACTTGTGAGAGTTTTGTGCATTTCATATTTTGTTCAACCTGGAAATATTTGATCTCATGTTAAGCTCCAACACACTTGAGAGAGTTTTGCATGGTTCCGGAAGATTTTTATAGATGACACATAAAAAAAAAAAATACAACCGATGTATGAGTTGAGTCATAATTAATAACATTTATAACTTAAAAAACATTGATAACTAATTTCTCATGTAGGGTGTCAAAGAAATTTGGCCAAATTTGATACAATTTGGCTCATTGAATAACCAAGACAGCTTATCGATCTGTTCATCAAAACATCTGATAATCAAGAAGTTTAACTTCGAACATTCATCGGATCCGGGATATCCAAAAACAAACTCAAAGTTAATAATCAATGAGATAAAATGTTTATTGACATTTTGCAAGTATGTAAATCATTTACAACCAAGACAGCTTGTCGATCTGTTTATCAAAACCTTTGATAATCAAGAAGTTTAACTTCGAACATTCATCGGATCCTGGATATCCAAAAACAAACTCAAAGTTAATAATTAATGAGACAAAATGTTTATTGACATTTTGCAAGTATGTAAATCATTTATAAACAAAGAGTAAGTTTATTACTTACTAGCTACTAAACAAGATTGTGCATATGATAGATAATTTCTACAAAATAAAAAGAATCTCATTGTATTATACTTGTTCCATTAATTTGCATTTGAAGAATCATATATGTCTCGATTAAACTCATTTCATAGTACAATATGCCTTCGAAAATTCTCCATAATTGATCAAATCATGAATTCACGTAATTGTTTAAGGATCATCCAAAAACTAAGAGTTAAAAATTTTGGTTGCTCATTCTTAACCTCTTTACTAGACTTACTTCAATTTTTATCATATGTTTATGTCCATCAAAGTTAAGATGGTTGTTCATGTTTCACATTTTGTTCAACCTGAAAATTTCAAATTCAAGACTGTTTCTTAAAGATATGGAATCTGACTTATCACGTAATTGACAAAATTATGAAAACATGATTAATTACACATCCAAAAAACTAAAATCAACCTATGATATTTTTTGTTGGAAGTAATACATACCATAGGAAAGTATAAAATCATCCACATTGATAACTGAAAGAGATTTTGTTGATTGCTCATTCTTAACCTTTTTACTATACTTACTTCAATTTTTATCTTTTGTTTATGTCCATCAAAGTTAAGATGGTTGTGCATGTTTCACATTTTGTTCAACCTGAAAGTTTCCAATTCAAGACTGTTTCTTAAAATTATGGAATCTGAATTATCACGTAATTGACAAAATTATGAAAACATGATTAATTACACATCCAAAAAACTAAAATCAAACTATGATATTTTTTGTTGGAAGCGATACGTACAATAGGAAAGTATAAAATCCTCCACATTGATAACTGAAAGAGATTTTGTTGGTTGCTCATTCTTAACCTATTTACTATATTTACTTCAATTTTTATCTTTTGTTTATGTCCATCAAAGTTAAGATGGTTGTGCATGTTTCACATTTTGTTCAACCTGAAAATTTCCAATGCAAGACTGTTTCTTAAAGATATGGAATCTGACATATCACGTAATTGACAAAATTATGAAAACATGATTAATTACACATCCAAAAAACTAAAATTAACCTATGATATTTTTTGTTGGAAGCGATACATTCAAAAGGAAAGTATAAAATCATCCACATTGATAACTGAAAGAGATTTTCTTGTAGCAAAATAAAACAACACTACGAAAAGAGAATCTTATCTTTTATCCCTATTATTTTCTAATATAAATTTTTTCCTTCGAACAATACGATGTCCCAAGAAATCTCTCAACTACATATATTCTTCGTTTACATGGCGCAACACGATAGCTATTATATTTTTTATCGACATATCGCGAGCCTCGTCCAAAAAAAGAAAAAAAAACATCATCGATGACACCTATGATTTCCTTGGTTATTTTAGTTGCAATTGCATGTATATTATCCATTTGTATGTCTTGGAAAATTAATTGAAGGTTTTTGGGAGCATTTCTCAACACAACACTTTCCACTTTCCACTTTCCACTTTCCTATCTACCTTGAGCACGATATTTCAAAAGTTCAAAATCTTTATTCTTTGAAAATGTTGTTTTGTCATGCCCATGAAGTGAATGACATTGGCGTATACAATGCTTGATTAAGCCAATTAAACTTGCAAGCGGGTTTTATAATCTATCTTTGCCGATCTGTCTGTTTGTATAAAGAAACTCCAATTTTATGTGATTGTTTCAACAAGTCCTCACATTTTCTCATAGTCTTGTTTTCTCACTTTTGATATGACTAAAATGTTTCTCAAGACCTTCATCTCTCCAATTTGAAGCTTTAAAACCATTAGAAATAAAAGAAATACATCTACAATTCTTATTATCATCGCTCTTAAACAAATAACAACACAAGCAATATGATCTTTCAAAATATTATGTTCCATCCAATGCTTTTTTTTGTTAATACTTTATTTTGGCCCGAACTATACTCATATAATCAACTTTGGTCAGTGGTTTATAAATTCCCACTCTGGCCTCAACTATACACCATATAGACTCAATTGGCCTGACTCGTGAATTTCTGTGAAATTAGACTGTCAACATCATTGACCGTTAGTGAATCAGCATGCTATGCTGACGTGGATGCCACGTGGAAATAAAAATTTAATAGTGTAGTAAAATAAAATAAAAAAGATAAACTAAAAAAATACCCCTACTCACTCGAGATCCACACAACCCCTCTCCACACTTTTCGTCTCCCATCATTCTCAATTTCTCCCTAACCTCACCCACGCTTTTCAGCCATGGTCATTCCTTGCGCTCTATTCATTACCTCTGAGAAGCTATCCACAGCTTCCGACATTGTCGTCGGCCTCGGAACCGGGTCTACGACCAAGCACGTCGTCGACCGAATCGTTGATTTGCACCAGCAAGGTAAGTTGAAGGACATGATAGGCATCCCATCATCCAAAAAGACCCACCAGCAAGCATCATCTCTTGGAATCCCTCTTTTTCGGATCTCGACTCTCATCCCACCCTCGACCTCGCAATCGACGGCGCCGACGAGATCGACCAGATCTCAATCTAGTGAAAGGCCGAGGGCGTACGATTAGCAGAAGTGATTGGTTTGCCGCCCAGGCCCACCCTTCAAATCGATGCCCTGGGAGAGGGTATTCGTCGTCTTCTTCTCGATGAACTAGGGTCTAGGAGGCATGACCTGGAGCAGTGGTTCGTCGGGACATGAGGGGTCGAAGGAAACCCCGACTCGATAACGCTTCTGGTTCAAGATCTGGAAGTCCGGCTTGAACTACAAGTTCATGTACTGCCCCGCGGTGTGCAAGTCGCGCAAGATGATTGCAAGGATGTCGGGATTTATGTCGATGATAGTGGCGGGATGGCGTTGGCTCTGGTTGAGATTTGTGAAAGATGAGAATGGCGGGGTGCCGAGATCAAACCATTTTCCAATTCTTCTGCAATTAGAAACCGTCGAGAAGAACTCATTTTCTCTCTCTTTCTTTTTGGTTAATTTGAAATTTTAGTGAAAGAAAAATTATTGAGAAGTTCACTTTTTAATTTTCTTTGAATTTTTGTCTTATTTCATTTTTTATTTTATTAAGTTTTTGAATTTTTTATTAATTCAATGCTGACATGGCAGTGAGTTGGACCATACCGTTAGTCAACGGTGTTCACCGTCCAAATTAACGGTCAAAATACGCTTTAGGCCAAACTAGTATATATAGTGTATAGTTCAGGCCAAGATGGATATTTTTGAAACAATTGGCCAAAGTTGATTATATGCGTATAGTTCGGGCCAATTTAAGGTATTAACCCTTTTTTTTTGTACCAAGAAGGCTTAAAGTTCCGATATGTTTGTCCAATATCTTTTTATGGAAAATCACAATCAAGTTAGCAAACTCCTTTTTGAAGATGGTGCCTTCTAATCATATCTTGAACACTAGGATGAAATAATAATAGTTGTTCACTTAAGCCCATATAAGCTTTCAAAGAGTTCACGTCAAATTCATTTTCACCTAATGTTAGCGGTGAAGTGATTTATCGAGAGAGGTTGTGACACTGATGGTGTAGATGGAGTCGAATTCATATCATGTTGAGATTATATAGAATTCAATCCACTAACTCACTTCGCCGAGCATTCAGGGTTTATCCACTACTTCTTTGTTAAGTATCTCCACATAATAATATTCTTCAATGTTTGATGACACTTTATTTGTTGTATTTTTCACTCCCATTCTTGATGCATTTTCATCTTCTATCAATGCTTCTTTAGTAATTTCAATAGTATTTCTTGTCTAAATCACAATTGTTTGATCAATGAGCTTATAATAGACCCAGGCAATGTTCTTGTACTCTTTGATGCCTTCTTTGTATTTTTTTTAGGCAAAATACACTTTCATAGCCATAACTTTACGAGTTGTGACAATAATAGCCAAATTTTGAAAAATGCACAAATATAGCCACTTTTTGAAACTTGCTTGACAATTTTAGCCATTTCCGTTACAAATTTTAACACCGTCAACAACTCTGTTAGTTAAGTGGATGTTAAACTGATGTGGATGCCACCTAGATGACACATTATCTCCAACTAGACTCGTCATGCCACGTGGATGCCACGTCATATTTTAAAAAAATAAAAATAAACTCCAAAAAGTAATTTTTTAGAAATAAAGTATTGTTTTATTTTTTAATTTTCTTTAATCTTCCCATTTTTTTTAGATCTGACGACGCACACTGCCTCGAGGGAAGATCGATTTGGCGAAGTTGACTGGTTGGAGACCATCCCGCCGAATTCGACAACGCACACGGCCTCCACCACCCCCACCGTGATTCCGGCTTTCTACTCGCCGCTCATCCCTCCCCAATCTTGCTGTCCTCGTCGCCGAAAATGCAGGGGCAAGATTCGAACGGATCTGACGAGGATTTGGGGCTTGGCGTATGAACTGGGGAGAGAGGTTTTGGTGGGTGTTGTGGCCGCGGGAGAGGTTGCGATGAAGGGAACCAAGCATCAGAGCGTTCTTTGTGCAACGGGGAAGGTTATGGAGGCGTTTCCCAGATTTGCTGATGATCGATATCTCGGGGATGGAGCTCGCCGAGGTACTGATTGGAATCGACGTAGATATTCGACCAGACGACGATTGCGATTCTTGAAACCGCGATCAATTTTTGGAGCTTTGGGACAATAGGTGATGCGTCGCGATCGTTGTTGATTTCAGCCTCGCAGAAGACCAAAATCCCTAGAATGGCAGAGACGTGTGGTAAATCTCATTCGTCTGCTCCGGTGAGAGCTCACAAACATTTTGGCATACCTATTCTTCACCTTTGCCACCGAAAGAGAAGGGTAAAGGATGGTATGAGGAGGTAGTGGAAGAGGATTCGCTCTTGATGGAAGCAAGAAAACTAGGGATTAGATTTTTGTTATTGGTGGGGGAGAAAGAGAGATTGAAGTTAGGGATTAGAATTTGTTTATTTGTTCGGATCAGGGAACAGAGGAGCAGGGAGAGGGGAAAGGAACGAGATGGTGATTTTTTTTTTGGATATATTGTTTTTTAGTTAATTATGTGTGAAATTCAATTTTTTAAATTGATGTGGCAAAAAAAAATTGTAAATCGAGTGACACATCATCAATTAACGTGATAACTGTTAGTCTAGTCAGCATTCGCATTTGGTCCGTTAAAGTTTTGGACGGAATGGCTATATGAGTGTATTTTTCAAAATTTGGCTATTATTGTCACAAAGCAAAAAGTTATGGCTATGGAAATGTATTTTGCCTTTTTTTATGGTTTTGAAGGTACAAAGCAACCTAAGGATGATTGGATCAAGCAATGAAGAACTCTAGATGACCAAATGAGCTATAAAGAGAAGATTAATGAGCTTTCGTGAGAAAGAAGTGGTCTATATGCATTGTGCTTAGTTTTGCATAGGTTGTTAAGAAATTACTATCTAGGGATTCCCCATTGATGTTACAAGAGTATGGGAGGCTAGATCAACCATCTATGCTTTGAGTAGTACCAATGCTTGATTGTTAGATCTTCGATGCCATATACTATAGTGATGGTTCGTAGAAGCCCAAAATTAACTATATGCTATCTTAACTTCCTTGTTCATTAATTAGGTAATGACATGAGGTAAAAGCACGCATTAGCTGGTTAAATGTGTATAGCAAGAGATGCATGCACGGGTCGAGAGTGGCCTTAGAGGAAGGGATAAGTTGTTTCAATAGATGAACCATCGATACATGATATGAATGAGACCTAGTATGCATGATAGTTCTCGAGTTCACTACCTTTTACAATAACGTATATTTACTTTTATGCATCTATAAAAAAAAATCTCTAAACAACTTTACTCTTCTTGCTTTGCTTGTTTGTCTAATGAAAACCCCTAAATGTCTTTTATGTTTCTCGTGTAGGTCATGAGTAGTTGTGCATTAGAAGACCTCGAGGAATACGACCCTAGGACATCCTTGGATTTTATCACTTATATTACATGATCGATGCTCCATTTATACAATACCCATAATAGTACTTTTATGTCTTTGTTGGCGGTCCAAGAAGATACAGACACTCGAAACTCACTCACAAGATCAAAAGAAACCAGCCACGAGTTCAGTCATTACACAAGGTATTATCTAATACACCGTAAGTTCTATGAGCTTGTGTGAGTTGGGAACATTTACATCCTTTCTCACTTTACCTTCCACCACCATATGAATTGACGCTCTAATATATGATTGACCAGCATCTTCGTCAAAGGAAACCATGGGAAAAGAGATTTAGACTTATAGAGGACTATCACATCTTTGAAAGTAATTCCACAAATAAATAAGGAGTGTGTTAATAAATCATATGTTTTATCATCTTTCCTCCATCGGAATGATGTGGCTCCACTACTTCATGTCCCTTAAAGAAATTTACTCTATGCTTTTGAGTAGGGATGGCAATCCTACTCGACCCGTCGGATACCCAACCAAAACCCGTTCCGACGGGGTTCAAAATAACCGGCCATGGTGGGTAAAGTGCAGATTCGGGTATGCCCGAAATCCGACAATAGTGGGCAACGGGTGGGGATGGACCTCCTAGTATCCGCCCCGTCACTACAAAAAAGAAGGTCAGTTATGACCAACAGTTTGGGGTTGGAAATGATATTTTTTCGTTGCAAATGACTTGTTATGACGACATACAGTCGTTGGTCGTCATCGAAAAAAGTACCATAGCAAAAAATGGAAATTGGTTAGGGCGTCATAACAAGAATATTTGTGACACATGATTGGATGTCATTACATAAATTATCGTGGTCATAAATAAATTATACTTGATGCTTAGAAAATGACGAAGTTTATTTTGACGAAATTTTCTTTTTTTTTAACAACCAAATGTTGTTAGCAATAAATAGTTAATGACTCAAATACCCTTCGAATATATTTACGACGACTGTGACTCGTTGAAAAATTGTACAATTTGGATCGATATTTTAATTCCCAAAATACTCTTTTTTAATTTTCGACAAATAATGTTGGTCAGAAAATTTTTTTGTCACAATAATATTATTTGTGATGGAACTAGATTTGTTTTTATTCAATTTTAGAAAAGATATCATTTTTATTTTGCGACTAATAATATTGGTTGAGAAAAATATTTTCTCATAAATATCATTATTTGTGAAGACAATTTATTCGTTGATGATGGTTATTCCAAAAATACCCTTTCAAATTTGCATAGAATAATTTTGGTCGGAAATAAAAAATTTGATACTTAAATTAGTTGTGATGAAATTTGCTTGGTCACTAATATGTTTTACGAGGTCCTTTTGTCCTAACACAATAAATATGAAGCGTTGGAAATGATGTTACATATCGTCAAAATTATTATCAATGCAATTGTAATATTATATTTTAATTTCAATTTCATAAATAATTAAAAATATTCGAAATAGCTAAAAGACAATTACTTGGATATAAAGAAAGGTGCCATACGATCACCATTGTCTTACATACTGGATGGTGGACACACCAATGTCTTACATGCACTAAACGAGTGCACAAACAAAACATTAAACATAGTCTTTCTTGCACTAAACGAGTGCACCCAAAAAAACA